AGTGCCTCCCTGCGTGCGTGCCCCTGCCCGCGCGCACTCGCCAGTGCCCCCCGTGCGCATGCCAATGAGCCCCCGCACGCGCGCGCTAGTGCCACCCTACGGAAGAGAGAGAGAGAAGAGGAGAGAGGAGTGGCGGGGGCGGCCGGAGAGGGGAAGAAAAGAGAGTGAAGGGAAGAGAGAGAGAGAGAAGGGAAGAGAGAAAGAGAGAAGGGAAGAGAGAGAAAAGAGGGCCGGTGGCGACGGGCAACGGCGGCGGCGAGGGGAAGAAGAGGTAGAGAGAGAGAGACTTAGTAGGAGAGAGATAGAAAGTGGCAGGAGAAAATGAAGAGGAAGAAGATAGGGTATATTAGATCAGACTTATTTGCGACGACATTGTCGCAAATAAGTTTGAAAATGTCGTCGCAAATAATCATTAATTCCCGCGCTTGGTTTTGGTGAAATCTTGAAAAGATTATTTGCGACGACAAAGAGAAAAAGTCGTCGCAAATAATATGAAATTATTTGCGACGACTTTATCGTCGCAAATAAATGGAAAATGTCGTCGCAAATAATCATTTTTCCCGCGTTTAGTTTTTTGGTGAAATCTTGAAAAGATTATTTGCGACGATAAAGAGAAAAAGTCATCGCAAATAATATGAAATTATTTGCGATGACAAAGTCGTCGCAAATAAAGGGAAAAATGTCGTCGTAAAAAATGGATTACCTTGGCGGCAAAATTCCGCGCCATTAAAATTTGCGCCCCAAAATTATTTGCGACGACATTTAAGTTATTAGCGACGACATTTAGGTTATTAGCGACGACATGGTTATTTTTTTAAACGGAGAGTAATTGCGACGACATGTCGTCGTAAATATTTTATTATTTACGACGACATTTGTCGTCGCAAAAAATATCGTCGCAAATGGCCTTTTTTGTTGTAGTGAAGTTAGGTGGGGTTCATATTATCGTTCAAAAAAAAAAAGTGAGGTTCATATTGTTGAGTTTTAAGCAAATATTTTTGTGAATGAAGGGCCAAATATAGGATAAGAAGCACAATTTATAGTGCAGTATTTTATACATTTTGAAGTTCAGCGCCAAAATTGTACAAAAAAACATAATTAACGGTTCAAAAGTAAAATTAACTCCAAATAATATTTTTTCTTTAACTATAAAAGAACAACGTGACTGGAAATTTGTTGGATCTAACACCACAATTCAAGTAAGGTGTGGGGTTTGCCCTCTTGTAAGTTGTAGTGCTAGACATTAATTACTAATGTTTGTTTTAATCTCTTTATTATATTGTTTTATGCGGAATCTATTCCCGTTAATATATAGTATTTATTAACATTACCTAAGCTTATCAGTATTCTTTTGGAAAAGAAATGTATTAGATATTGGATATAAGATAAGAGTAACATGATATATATGTTAGAAAATTACTTTAGGGTGAAAATCTTCACAAAAAACCGGATCGTTCATGTTGGATTTATGATCTAAAGTGGAT